CAAAACACAAACTTGCAAGCTATGGCAACAATCCAGAGCAGCCGTAAGAGAAACCGCACTTCAGCTGTTGAGATAGGCTGAATACGCTTGGCATTGTTGTAGCACAGTGATTTGGAGTTCAGTTGGTTAAGCGGTTTGCCACTCTTGTCAAGCTGTATGAATAAAGGACAGCTGCCAAATATGAAGCAACAGACACCTCCTTGTGCTGTCCTTCTCCACCATGCCATTGTTACAACATGCTAAAATGAATGGTAACAAAATGCAGTGTCTGCACTAGACACACACCTCTTCACTCTTAAACATTTAGATATTCCAGCCCAGTGTGTCCTGTTAGAGCTGTGGTTTGTTACAGGATGTTTAAACAGAGTGCTTGTCTTATCGCCAGCTGATAAAATAGTGTATGGAGGAGTATTTGCATATGTAAACATCAGGTATTATTACCGATAGCTACATTTTAAATGACGGTGCAAGCACTAGAACATCCATCAGTAGATTTATGGGGTTAAAGTGGTGGGTTTAGAACAGTTTTATTGCACAGCGGTGTTAATTACATGTATAGATTTAGACAGACATTTAGGTGGGACAGTTCTGTGTGCTGTTGCTCCCCTCCTATCTAATAACCAGTGCTTTGCTGGCTCTCTAATTACTGCTAGCAGGGCTTTTAGATTTGCTGTCACAATTAGAGGAGAACATGGTTAGTGTCCAATTTGGCCCCTGTTCCCTCCTTCCCACTGTCTGGCTCAACCCCTTACTACAGAGAAAAGGCCACCAAAAGCTGCAGGGTTGCATTATGAATTTCAAACCATTCACTCATATCCTGGGAAAGGATGAAATTAGGAAGAGAGCCACGTAGAAAACTGACATTTCCACCTGATTTTAGCAGTGCGCTTGTGTAAAGTGCAGTCGTTTTCCTGAGAAACCGAGACGTCCATGCTTGTTTCCAAAGCAGGCCGCCCTCAGCTCTGCCAAAAACTTTTTCAGCTTGGACCTCTCACTCGCTCTCTCACTCTTTCTCTTCCTTTTTATTGTGTTTGTTGTTTTATAGCGCGGTTAGATGCGGGCCAGATTGCTGTTGCCAACAGCGACTGTCTCAGTTCACCTCCAGTTGCTTGCCACTCCATTCATAAACAAATCACTCCAGCTCGGGAGCTCAAGAACAACAAGCATTCAATCTGTGTTTTGAAGTTTTCTCCCTCTGCATTTTTATCTTTTTCTATTTGCTCCTTTTTTAAAACTTCCCTCTCTTGCTTTTGGCTCAGCTCCCCTTCGCTATTCCCTCCCTCCTCTCCCTCTCTGCTCACTCTCAGCTTCAGCAGGGTCAGACCACTGACACTCTCCTCAGTGCAATTCTGTCAGGGAAGGAGTGCTTGTATATCTGTGTGCATGTGAACATTTTTTTTTACCCTTAATGTGCTCTTTGGTGCGGTGGCCAGTCTTTTTTCAGAGTGTGAGAGAGGAGAGAGAGAGGAGACTCCTGTGGTGTTATGATTTGACTAAACAAACAGACGGCCACAGAGTGGTGCCTCCTCCAGTGGGCTCCCGGGACCACAGAGATTAACCTCAGACTCTGAACATCTGACGGATCTATACGTCTGAGGCAGCAGCCCCTGTAGAGACAGCCAGCTGGAAATCCTTCCTCTGATTTCAGAAAGAGGAGGAGAGCGACTGCTGGCTGGCAACCTCCTTAGACAGCGCGGGAAGACTTGTCTGTGTTTCTAGGATCTCTCTGAAGGTAAGAGGCCTTACTTCTCTGTCACTGTCATGATTTTACTTTTAGTCGCAGCTGTTGGCAGAAGTGAAGATGTACGTAGGCTCCTCCACAAATCTGTGTAACTCAGGGAAACATGCAACACTTCATAGCTGTCTGTCTCAGAGAGGATGCACCTCATCCTTACAGTTCATACACCATTCTTTCATTTACACTGAGAAAATGATCTGATTTAATACCTGAAGCCCAAAAATGTCTGGTTTTAATACTAAAGTCTGTTTTGTTGTGTTTGTGTTGTGTTTGTTAAACTTGCTAGTTGGTGGTAGTTGTAACCCATATACGTGACTGTGCACACACCAGGATATACAGTTTGAAAAGGTCGTGAGCAACCTGTTCAAACATGGCGATGGCTTGCATCTCTGTGTATAGACACCTTTTCACTCTTTACAAAGAGCAATTTTAACAATGTTTATCTTCTCACTAAGAGAACCCGTTTGACAAGGTATCCCGGGGTCCCACACACACGAACACACACACTGGGCTATATAGTGCAAGTTGTTTGTATGTGCTCCACTGTTAAAGGGCTTGTTTATACATCCCTCTTCAGTCACCCTGAGTGAACGGACGGTCCTTACTACCAAACCATCCGTCTCTTTCCTCCCCTGTTATTGGCCCTAACAGAATCAATCTCATCTGCATAGCTATACAGAGAAACTAATTTAAAAGCCATGGCTGTGGCTGTGTATCGGACCTGTCACCAGCATCCTCTTGAACAGTGGATGGCTTTCCTTATAGTGATAACGCATACCAGATTCAATTTATAGCTTTATGCTTTGGTCATCCCTCTATTAAACAATTTGTTGAGTCATCTCCTCGCATTGATCCCAAAAGAAGGTTTTAGTATCTGGATGATAATAATAATAGCAATGTTAGCTATTTTATGGCCGAGACAGAGGGGATACGCTTGTCTTTTCACTCTAATCCCCCATATGTGCAGCTGAATGCCTTCCCATTGCCCTGCCATGTGTGTCTGCTGTGGTGTGTAGTTGTTGGTTGCGTTAGCGCCACATACATCTTCTGTTTAGAGATAACCTTTGTGATATGAGAGCATGTGAATTAGCATCAGTTGTGATCAGGGCAATGCTGGTATCTGTTTGGGGTCTCCTGCTCTCCTCTTCTTCTTTTTGATCTTCTTTGGTCCTCTGGTCAAGGCATCGTTTGGTGCTGTTGTCACAGACGAGCTGCTGGAAAACTGCATGCATGCCATAGTTTTACCATCAAGGGTATTAGGCTATATTGCATTCATTTCATAGTTTTACCATCTGGATTCTATTTGTGGAACATTTTCCAGCACCATCTTGGACTCAGTACATTTACTTTGACAAATCCTTATAGTACAGATTTGTAAAACATAGTGAAGTTTCATTTGTGTCTTGAGTAGTGGGGATTTTTCACCCTGTGCGTCAGGCTGCTGGTATGTACTGCAGCAGAGCCCTTCTTCCCGGTTGTGATGCAGCATGGCCCAGGTGACTCCACTCTCCAGGCCAGGACTAATCCTTCATCATCAGCTGTTTCCTGGCTCTTCGGAGTCCCTGCACACCAGCCGTGCTGAGGAAATGTGCTTCACATTATGACCATGCAGAAAACATGCGAGGGGTCTGATTCAGCTCACATGTGTTCTAACGTGTATCAGTTTGAGCTCAGCAGCAACTTTTGAAACACATTGATCCCATTCCGCCTTCCTGTGATTTATCCTCGGTGAGCTGAACACAGCTGTTGAACAACTAGTAACATTTGCATCAGGATGAAGTATACAGTGTACAAACGTCTTAGAGCTCTCAGACATCACGCGATGACGGGCTTATTGATGAGTGTAGATTAAATTTAAATATAGCAGTCTCTGACTCATTCTATGGTGGTAACTTCTTGGATGATTCATGATTCATCATCCATACTTTTGAACTGAGCTGGTGTTTCTTTGTAAGGGAGTAAGTTTGATCTCCCTGCTATAGGTCATCACTTCTTTAATGCTGTGTGTATAAACTATACTTGTGCTATAAAGCTTTAATGAAGAGCACTAAGTGGCACTGTGATACAGCATCCTGTACAGCCGCCCATCCATCTGGTCTCCCCCTCCTTCCCTCCTTCTTTTCCTACCACCCACTCACACAGAGCTGACAGGCAGCTGCATCTCATCTTCGGCCAGCGAGCACAGTCACTCCTGCAGGACGGCTCCTTGAGGAAATAGGTCTTACAATACCACAATACCAGTTAAAATACCAAACTTTCAGAAGAAAATCAGCCCTAAAATCCTAAAGAAATGTGTCATTTTTACATGTGGAACAGCGAGGTTGTCCAAACATGTGGGCACAGTGGTCAAAACACATTTACTCAAGCACTGTTTTTAAACACAATACTGAGGTACTCGTACATTGTGTGGATACTTCTGTTTTATGCTGCTTCATACTATTACTTTTTCCTCCACTTTATTGTGAAACAATTTTTCAGTTTAGCCTGAACTTACAACATCTCATGATATGAAAGATGAAGTGAGATAACAACGCAGCTTCCTTACCATCACTGCCGTCAGCAGTCAAACTTGTTCATATTCAGCCAATGAAAAACTTGTGAAAAGAAGTTTTACCATATATTGTAGATGTCAGAATGGCACTGATCTCATACAGCCTGCTGCAGGAAACATCTCAGTGTATTTCAGGGCCTTTCAGTAAAACTTGAAGGCAGAACTTCTACATGTAAAAATACTTGAAACATTTTAACATGGTGTTATTAGTTTATTTAAATAAAGGATCTGACCCTGTCTTCCACCCCTGAATGGCTAGAATATTAGAAAAGTATTACGATATCATCTCTGAATTCACTGCATAAGGAAAAACATAGATTACAGGAGGTTTTAGTTTCCATCAGATTCTTTCAAAGCAGCGCACGTTCTCTTGCTCCAACTAAAACATGCTCGGTGATACAACGCAGTGAGACAGGAGGACAAAGAAAAACAGCATCTTGCTTTTGCAAGATAAGAATATTCCACTTAATGGAAAATGAAGACTTCTTTGGATTTGTCTCATTTTGTCTTACTGTTATGCCATTTTCAGAGTAAATGTAACCTTTAGAATACCCAGGCAAATAACTACACTCAAATAAGAGTAATTATGTCTACGTTAACAGAATTCTACATAAAATAAAAATTTCCCAGCATGCCAAAACTGCACAAATACTATAAATTATATTAAAAACCCTCTAAATTATTTTTAAAAAATGCTACATTATTGCTCAGATTGATGTTTGACCTGGGTCACTGTTATCCTGCGTCTCAGCATTATTGCGTTTAGGTAGATGAGTGGAGTTTAAAGCCAGTCAGTCCTAATTGTATTCAGCTGTTTTTGTTTTTATCTTTTTGGGGGGTTGTAGGTGTGCAAGAGCAGAGGGACTTGAAGCGTGCGTAGGCGTCCACCATTTCTCAAGGGGCCAGTTGGAGCCTTACAAGTGCTCATGAGACTGTCAGTGTGCAAGAAAAAGAAGGGGAGGTGGGGTGTTGTACCCTGCACGTGGGTGGGGAGGTTTTAGTAAAGAAATGTGGGACAGTGTAGTACTGCTTAGGTTAGCAAATAAATCTGATACTGCTGCATTCCCTAGGAACAGAAAGAGTTGCTGGGGGCAATGTAGGCTAAACACAAAATTACAGCCTAACTGGCAGAAACCCAAAGATGTACTGCTCAAGAAAACAGGGGGGGAAAGAAATCTTCAAAGACAACCCCCGCTTTAGTTTTTGTTATCTTAATTTCTTTTTCTTTAATTTAGGTTGCCAAATGAGTAGAAAATTAGCTCATTAAACTGATATCAAACACTAGCCACATCTAAAGCTGTCATTCTACAGCCATCAGTTTTACCCAGAAGCTCTTTGCATCCCCCGACCACCACTACAAATGGCATTTATAACTCTTGTTTGGAAGCAAACAAACCAAAATCCACAGTTTCCCAAACATGTGCTGCTTCAGCATGAGCACAGAGCCACTGGTTGCTGAGGGAAGACCTCACAGTCAGAGTGAAAGCAAAATCAGAGGAAGATTTATGAACGGGATTTAGAGCAAGGGATTTGTTTTGTAATACACCAGAATTTGATGCTGCAAATCTGAGATGGCTTCAGTGCAGCTTCAGGCTCTTAAGTTACAGGATACAAGCTGCTTTTTTTGCTGATACGGAACGTTTTAACGCTGTGTCCAGCTGTGTAGCTGCAGAACTGGGGGTCAGAGTAAGTGAGCCAAAAATCTTAAACTATTTCTGTCAGGCTGATATTGTAATAACAAATGAAGAGTTCTCTGCCCCCGCAGTCTGTCCTGCAGCACAAAGGTTTCTAGAGTGGTGAAATATGTAGTGATAGTATATAAAGTGTTTTAGTGAGTGAGGGTATCCAAGTTTAAATGTGCCAATTTCAGCTGATAAAAACAGTATTTTTATATTAACGTGTTAAGGGGGGGGCGCTGATAGTGATGAACCCACAGAGAATTATCACCCGACCCTGCAGTTTACTTCAGCTCTGCAGAGCAATTTAACATCTTTCAGGTCATTGTTTTGGTTTTCTGGCTTATAACTTTACTGTTCTGGTTCATTCTCACCGCTCTCATCAGTGCTGTTTTTGGTTGGTAGACACCAAAAACAAAGTTAAAACAGAGTGAGCATTGGACTTTCTTTTGCCAGGTGGCCAAAAGCTAATTTTGCTCCTAACAAATCTGCCTTATCAGTTTATAAGGTAGTGTTTACAGTTTCCCCCAAGTGGCCACAAAATCAGTTATTGTAATGCTGCTGCAGCTTTACTGTAAATACTGTATGTTAAGACAGATATTTGTAGATATGTGAGCATGTCTGAGGGCTCACTGCCTTTCCCTTATCTTTACAACATGAAAGATGGATTATTATGATGCAAAGAGAGGCTCTGTAGCATTTTTTGCTCACAGTAACATGTGATATCCAATTTCATGGTCCTACAGTTTGTCAGTCATTATTACAGCTCTAGCAAGAATGTGTATTAGTCATTTTGAGGGACAGTGAGTCTGGGGTGGGAGCGCTGCATTGTGGGCCTGCGGCCCGGGGACCAGAAGGTTTTTCTCAAGAGGGTTGGTCTGTCCAAGAAGAGTGGTAAAAATGGAAGTTTGTTTTAACAAAGACACACGGGGTCATTTTCTTCCCACAGAACTCGCCAGAGTCCCGCTGCTCTGAGACATGTCAAAGACCTGACATCCTTCTAAAACAGAAAACCACAGAAGATGAATATGGCATGTGCATTTATTCAAGCAAGTCTAGTGCCATTATTTAGTACATGTCCTAATATAGCGTTCTGTTTCTGTAATAGCTCATATTTTGTCTTGTCAACTATAATTGTGTGCATTGGAAAGAAGCGACAGTTGAATTGGAGATGTTTGTTTTGCAGATCACAGCTTCCTGTACACTTCAGCGGCGTAAACATCGCCGTCTGTGATGTGAGACTGTGTGTGTGCTCCCTCTGCTGTCCCACTTTATCCTGTGATGTGGTATTTCCCATAAACTGTCTGCATGCTCCCTTTGCAGTGTTTTCCACTGTCCGGTGCTGTTTGCAGTATATCCTTGTGGCGTGCCAGTGGTTTATCTTGCTTTGTCATTGGTCTAATTGGTCTGCTCTTGCATGTTTATTGTTGTTTTCTGTTTAGCGTTTCTTTTTTCTTTGCTCTGTGTTTTTGTTTTTCCTCATTTCTGATTGCGAGTTTGCATATTTTTGTGCAGTTTGGTATTTACACTAAGGCTCTTTTTCTCTTTTGTAGAAGTTTCGTTAAGGCCAACTGGTCATTTACTCATTGTGGCATCACTTGTGTCCATGAGGCTTTGGTTACTGGTTGTGGTGGTTTGCTGTGTCATTGATGCATCACTTGTTTACCCCACACACAAGGCCAGAAAGTTTCCCTGTACAGGAAGCTAAAGCTCTCCAGCTGCACTCTAACAAGCTTTTTGGACCTCCTTTTCTCTTTTGTTATAGATTACTCTTTTTTCCTTCTTTTTCCATGTTCACCCTTTCCTCCCTTGGGACATACTCAAGCAAACACTTGGCTGCAAAGCAGTTCCCACCTCACTGAGGACTGCTTCATCACTGCCAGATGTTTAAATAAAAGATACAGCTACAGTATATATACTGCAGATAGTCCCAGAGGTGGCTTTACAGGCTGGTGAGGGACTCGTTGAGCTGTATGCCGAGGCCATGCGTGGGCTGTGTGCATCTCACTGAGGTTGATTTTAGCATTCTTCTTCTTTAGCGGGTCACACTCTTAGTGTAGCGGGGTTGTTTACGAAAACTGAGGAAGGGTCAATCAGCCACCAAATTCCCAGCATCTGTGGGAAAACCTTTATGTCAGGATGACAGTTTATCCCTCATGGTGATTGTTATGCCATATCTTACACAAACACTTTTTCAGACCTCTATAATCACTGTGGGATTGGAGCATCCCATTTCAATGATTAAAAAGACAACGCTAATCTTCTGGTTAGAAAAATGTTTTTAAAGTCATAATGACAAGATCTTATCCTGAGATTGAGAACCACTTTACTAGACGTGACTGGGTTTATGGATATTGTGGATGTTTCTTCCTGTAAATGGTCTGAAGCAACACTCTGTTGTATCTATGGTTCAAAGAGGAGCTTTGTGTTTTTAGGGGGTCAAACTGGTCCAAAGTGTTTTTATTAAGTAGGAAACAGAGTCACTGAAACTCTGCCAAACCTTCTTGGCAGATTCACTTGTGCTCTGTCCTTTCTAACGTCTCATAACATTGTCTGGTCACTTCAAGCTCAAAGACTTTACTAAGACACTGACATTGACATGTTTCGTGTCCACTTTGATGTTCGTGTTGCATGTTCTTACGTCTTGCATCCGTTTCTTAATGTTATGTTCACTATTCAAAGTCTTTTTAATGTTGTCTCCTGACTCCTTTTGGCCCTCTGATCCTAGTCAGTACACTCCATTTTGAGGGCCAGATTCCTCACCGTCCATCGATTAATGTAGAGACCTCATTATGTTGCACCAGCCAAACTTTATTTTTTTTATCCTTTACGATGATTGCAAAACAAGACATGAACACACATTCTTTTTCAGCAAAGAATGTTTTCTGATGTTGGATCTCAGATGCAAATTCCCATCCTACAGTAGCCCCAACATAACACTTTTGTAAAGCAAAGACAGCTTCGGCAGCCAACCACATTAAGATCTGTTTGTTCTCACCCTGCCAAGTGACACATGCCTTTGGCGTCGCCGCATTTGGCTGTTGTCGCTCAAAGTCACCATCACCGACACTGAGGTTACTGGTACTCATAAGCACTGATGCATGGCTTCCTCTGTGGACGGTCCCTTGTTGCTGTGTGCTGGGGCCCCCAGGGAGGAGGTGACCCCTCTGCTCTTGCCGTCGTCACCAGTGGAATCCCAAGTGTATCAGTGGTCCTGGGAAAGTTTTAGAAAAATACTGTGGGAATGTGAACTGTACATGGACACCAGCGACAAAAAGGGGAAGAGGGGGAGAGGCCTTGTTTTGTGTGTGTGTGTGTGTGTGTGTGTGTGTGTGAAGGCTTGGGGGGTAATAGAGCGTGTGTCTGTGTGTACAGTGTGAGTTTTAGCATTATGCTGGCATGCAGCACTCATTATGTGCCAACAACAATGTTCATGTGTGCATGTGTATCAGCTGTGACAGAAAAAAAAACATCTCTCTCTCTGTCTCTCCCCTTTTTATTAAAACCAGAAGGCGGGGGAGGAAAGAGACCAGTCATGTTTTTAGAGCAACTCAAGAGCATTTCGTTTTGGGAGCGGAAGTGCCAAAGGCAGTTAATTTAGAGAGACAATGTGTATCTGGTTTGAGTAAATGGCTTTGGATTAGTCATGGAACGCTTAATCCCTCTCCACAGCAGATCAAGTTTATCTCTTTTATATCTGGGTTAAAAGTCATTAACTTTGGCATGAAACTGTGCCAAAGGTGCAATTAATAAATGAGAAAACTTTCAAGAATTAGAGATTACATGGAGAAACTTCAAAACACACGTTGAATTACATAATCCATACCACAATCCATCTTCTTAAAATACAGTGTAATGCTGTATTGCATTATCAAGTGGAGAAAGATCCATTTCATAAGTTTTCCACTGGCTCCCTTCTTCTCTTCCTCCTCCACCCTCGCTCTTCCCAAGGCTCGCTTCCGCCCTCTCTCTATTTCCCACCCTCTTGCACACAGGCCTGTGATCCATCCTTAACTGTTTCCAGACGTCTGTGTGCTACAGGCCTTACCCCCATCCCAAACATAACAACAACCGCCCCCACAATCTTTTCCTCTGTCCTCTTACGCTGCAGTGAAATTACCGGCAGAACATTAAAGGGCCTTGACTAAGAGTGGTTAATCAGTGACCTTTGACCTCAATAACTGTTGAATTAAATCTGAGATGCTGGTATCACAGTGGTGTACAACATGATATCTCAATAGTATCACAAAACCATAGCAACCCTCTGACTACACTCCTGTGTCAGCGGCCTGTGTGAATGCCCTCATTTTCACTTTTGTTTACACCAAAACCAATTAATGGCTCAGCACGGCTCTAGAATAGCTTGGACGCTGCATTGTTGCCAGTGAGCGTGTTACAAAGCTGCACACAGTGACCTGTTTGTCAGTGGGCAGAATGCTGGTGGACCAGGAACAAAAAGAGCCAGACATTGTCGCTCTGTCCTGGTGCAGTGAGGCATCAAATACTTCCAGGGTGAGCTGCATCTGCACCTCAGAGTCTGTGCACAGGCCAGAAGCCATGAAACAATGCAACCTGACAACAAATGAAATTTTGTTTGTTGCCTGTAGCATGAGTAGAGCATAGGTTTATGTCATTTTCTTTGACTGGAAGCAGATTGTTTTGACATGCAGTGTGATTTTTAGGGCAGGAATAAATCCATTTTTCTTATTGTTTCTTAATTGAGGTGAATTCAAACTAGATTTTCCTGCTGTTGTTTATTGTGAGTGAATTTGATGAAAATCATTTTTTATGTGAGGCAAAATATTTCCAAAAAATGTCACATGGGGATAAACTAGAATTGGCATTCCATCTTATTTTCTTGCAGAAAAGGGTAAACTGAGGGCTCCCACAATGAGAAGGGGGGCAGCGTCCAGGTTCCACCTCACAGTCACAGTTACAGGTAAGAACTCAAGAAAATGAAAATTTTTAGACAGGTTTTGTGGCAGAGGTGTGAAAAATGTGATGCCATACTTTGGTATTTTACACTTTTGGATTAGCAGTAGCTGCACAGTGAGATAACACAATACTTTGATGCGAAGGACAATGAATGAGTTCAAAATGACTTCTCACATTTTACCTAGATCTGTCAATACATTTGTCATTGACATGGCATCATTGTCCTCTCCAGGCACCTCAAATCCTTCATCATATAGAGATAGAACACATCCGATTTAACCTTTGACTTCATGCTGCTGTCTTTTTGACCTCTAGCCTGACCTTTTTCCTTGTTCTTGTCAACTGCAGCTCTTCTCTACCTCTGTGCTGAGTTGTGTTGCCTGGAGATCACACCTAATGACAAAGAATTCATCCTAGCCCAGGGCGTTTCTCTCACCCTTACCTGCTCTGGATCAGGGGAGATGACCTGGGAGATGCGGAAGGATGATGTACCGTACTTCCAAGTCCAAACTGAGGGCCAGAGCTACCAAACTGCAAAAAGCAGTGCCACATCCAGTGTTTTGACCTTGAGGAACGTGAGCTGGAACCACACAGGGGTGTATCAATGCACTGATGTAGACACTGGAGAAACTAAAGAGGTGGCTGTGTTTGTCCCAGGTGAGGACTGGTTTGTTTACCATAGATTAAACATCACAATTTAGTGCCATGTACAGTAGATAGTTAAAGGTGTCTGACAGCAAGGTCATATTTAGACTGCCTCAGCACACCAGTCTCAGTGTTTTGTGAAAAGGGGGGAAATTAAAATTGACAATGTTGTTGAGACAGCTGCAGGGAAATCTTGGAAATCAAAACAAAACAAAAGGAAACTGGCAAGTCTCAATTCCACTGATGTCTGACTTAGTATTAGTATAAAATGATAACATCTGTTCATTTCCTGTATACTAACTGCTGAAAGAGTAAGCTATTAATTGTATACCTAAAACTATAAAATCAGTATTTAGTATGGAATTCTTTGTTGCTTAATTTATATAAACAAAGCAGTCACTTATTGTATCTACCTGCCTCCAGACCCTGATGTGTGGTTCATAGAGAGCTCCCATGGCATGGTATCCAGAACCAGCGAGGAAAGCATCGTCCCCTGTGTGGTCACCAACCCCAGTATCAACGTCACTCTGTATGAGGAGGACACCGGCATGCCCGTGAGGGGGCTGTATGTCCCCAGTGAGGGGTACAAGGCTCCGCTGGAGGACAGAGCCTACGTGTGTCGTGGAGAACTGAACGGGGAGGTGAAAGAGTCTCAGGCTTTCAACGTCATCAGCATCGCCAGTAGGTGTTTCAGCTTTAAGACACTGGTTAGAGAATCATAAAAATGATAACTCACCCCCATGTGTGCTGAAATTCCAGAGAATCCATAGAGTTGGCCCCTGTAATTCATGTTCACGCTACACCCAACCTATTCATGTTTCTCTTTAAAGCACAATCATAAAAAGTCCCATAAATGTCCAACAAATTTCTACAAACTGCATGTCCAAAAATATAATTTATTCCCACACTGTTTTAAGAACATTTTATAGTTATGTGGAAGTGCAAACATTTGTTGACTGAGATGGAACTATAGGAGCCAGCTACCAATATCGGGTTTCAGGGTTTTGTTTAATGATTGATTTGCAGTGAATTGTTTTTAATGTATCACATCACCACCTCTTCCTTCTCTCCTCTGCATTCTCTTTTCCCATCCCGATAGCTGGGGCCATTGACACCTACATCAATGCGTCAAAGACCTTCCTGAAGGAGGGCGAACCACTGACAGTGAACTGCACAGTGCACGGAGTTGACCTAGTGTATTTTTCCTGGGATATCCCCAAAAGAGAAGTGAGTAGGAGTGGAACAGAACAAACACTTTTGTTCAGCGTTCCCTTTGGGATCACATTCAGGCCTCATGACCAAGCCCAAATTGCATCAAGATGTGGAGACACACCTCAGTTTTTATCCCTCTGTGAAACTGTACTCATAACACATGGTGCTGGGATCAGATGTGGAAACTGTAACTGTAGAAGACATTCTGCTTTATACAGTATCTAGGGAAAATTTCCAAACATTTTTACTAAAAATATATATTTTAAAAAGCTATTTATGGAGAGAGCATCACACAGTTTCATGGCTGAATTTGTCATGTGGTCTTTGCAACAGGTCATGCAATAGTTCCCACCTCTCACCAATGTGTGGTGCCAAGAGTTGCAGTATATAAAAACCATTCAGACTGATGTCGTTTCTCTGTCCAAGGTTGAGGCGCTGACAGACGTCCTGTCCGCCTTGCTTGTGCGCTCCTTCTTGATCTTCCCCAGTGTCACTGTGGCCCACAGTGGACAGTATGTTTGCCATGTCCGTGAGAGTGTCCACGACCAGGATGCCACTGCCGCCATCGCCATCACTGTGCTCGGTTAGACACACACACAAACACACACACACACACACAACTAAAAACAAACGGATGTTGGACAGATTATTATTGTGTTTCACGGACAGAGAGTAGACTGCTTATTATGTAAACCACTGCAAGTTTAGGTGAGAGCGATGCTTCTTTTAAAGGAAATGAAGATCATTTCCATTTATTTATGTTCAAAGTGTGAAATAAATGTTGACATGATGTGGACACCCTGAGTGGTACCTTGAAAAACAGAACTTCAAACCTGGAGGTAGCACAACTTTGAATTTAGACTTTTTGAAAATAAACTCAAAGGTCACATGTAGTTTTTACTTTGGCCAGTTCTGACTGTTAACGCACAGTAAGTCACCATCCAAGCAGCAGGTTGAGAGCCAATAAAAGCAGGATTCATACTGTACTTTCCTTATTTCTGTTTCTTGACAAGCCCCGAATGTGTTTGGGTCTGTGAATGCTTATTCTATCTGCAGTGAGGTGTGTTATGTTTATTACATCCCTGAATAACTTGAACCGCCAAGCTTCACTTGAGAACAGGACAGTTTAGTAGTGCGTCCTGGACGTCTTGGTGGAAAAGACAGCTACTGTCTGGCCACCGGATTTCAACACTGAACAGCAACAGTACACTGTCTGTAGCCTCCTGTCCAGTGAAGGGGCTTGTACACACATCGTAGTTAAACACCAAAGAAGAACTGAAGGTTTTCATTTCACAACCAAAATAGCTTTTTGTTCTTTTTGGCCATATACTCCATTGGTACAATATGAACATTCTGTTGCTAGTGATTTGATTTTTGTCCCCTCAGAGCGAGGTTTTGTGGACCTAAAATCTGCACAACAGGAAATCGTTTCAGTCAAGTTGCAAGAGAACGTGGAGCTGAGAGTTGAGATTGAGGCCTACCCTCCTCCCCAGATCCACTGGAGCAAAGACGGAGCCTCCATCAAGGGAGACAAAACCATCACTACAAGACAAGAGCACGAGATCAGGTGAAACATCCAACCACAGTCTTCAACTGCCCGTTATCCTAAAAATGCCTGAAATTCCATAATACAGTTTAACACCATAGGTCATAATGTATTTAAACGATTACCACAGGACCTCTGTTAGGCTGAAAGCCTCCAGAGGCATCTAGCTTTCGTCAGTCATCACTAGATAAGGTCTCTGTAGAGAGAAACAAAATACTCTCCAGAGGGCAGGACTCCATCATTCATCACACTGGAACTATAAACACAAAATACCTGTCACAACTAACAAATGTCTTTCAGGAAAATGCCAGACAAAGTTCTAATCACTGGACTATGTTTTCACATTTTTGCCAACACAGTAAAATTCAAAAAGACAGAAGCTCAGGTCACAGATGGAGAATCAAACACCACCAGGCCCTGCACCGCAAATAAAAACAATGAGAATCAATTGGGGCTACACATTTTTACTCTAAACTTTAAACAACCACATTTACCCCCACCCTAACAGTCAGTCAGCACATCATGAATATTATAGTGCATATGGTATAACAAGGTAAAAACTATATGATTACACAACTGAATCAATCAGATGAAAACAAGTAAAGTGCAAAGCTAAGTAGGTAATAAACAAATTAATAAAACAGGTTCACTATACTCTGAGTTCAGAGTAGCCAGTTAGCAGCAGCCAAGCCATATACTGCACGGAAGCAACGTCTTTTTGTATCAGTGGGTAACATTGACCACAATCTTTAAATCTAATTATCCAAAATGCATGTGAGCAATAAGGAGGAGCTTAATAAGAAGTTTACAGACTGATTAGGGGAGATGTGTTCCCTGGAGGGTAGACCCAAAAGGAAAGCCCAGGGTTTGGAAATAAATAATCAAATGTAGAAATTAGTTTCCTCTCCCAGAAGCAGTGAAAATACATCGACATATCTGATTCACATTAAATACAATCGAAAGAGAAGAGACTATGACCCATTTTGTGGTAGATAGCAGTGGTGATGTGCAGCCTCCTGCCAGTCATCTTTAGTATATACAGATTATCTCTTTTGTGAGAAATATTTGGTAGCTTATACATATTAGAGTAAAGGAGCGGGGAATAGCCATAGTTTTAAAAGTGTCCTCGCTCTTTTGTGTACATTCTTCTACCTCAGGTACATCACTATTCTCACCTTGGTGAGGGTGAGGTTGGAGCAGACAGGGGTGTACAAAGTCCTTGTCACCAATGGAGATGACTCAAAGGAAGTGACTTTTTACCTGGAGGTCCAAGGTGAGAGACCATCTTAAGAAACATGAAGTTATCACCGTATACAGAGTGCTTTTGAAGACTTTTGACCTTCAGGCTGCATCACTGGAAACACAGGCTGGCTAAAAGCAACATAGGAAATATGAAGGACAGGCTCCTGTTTTTATCCTCTTCACTGATTGCTGCGCTCCCTGTGTTCAGTTCCCTCTCAGATTAAATACCTGACAGACCACCACCTCCCAGGGAAAAGACACTTGGTGACCTGTGAAGCTGAGGGGGTCCCAACCCCAACCATACATTGGTACAGCTGTGACAGTATGCTCAAGTAAGTCACACCCCCCACCCCCCATCTCTGAACTGTGACACAGTGAACACCAGGGGGCTGACCATACACAGAAATTTACTTCCTTTCAAATGTGCATCTGCAGTGGCTTTACATTATGCTGCTCTCTCTAACTTAAATGATTTCACGTTGCCGATCTCGTGTCCCGCTGCAGGTGTAGCAACCAGACGGCGTTCTGATCCCAGAGCCAGATCATCTGAGCATTCTGACCAATGTGAGCTACAATGAGACCCGTAAAACCGGTCAGGTGCGGAGCCAGGTGACCTTCCACAAGCCGCAGCAGGTCACAGTTCGCTGCGAGACCAGCAACCAAGCCGGGATTGTCGACAAAAGAGATGTCAAACTGGTGTCCAGCAGTAGGTGTTGTCGTGGCTAGAGTGTGATACCAACTAAATTAATTCAGACAAACCATCCCAATTTAAAGGATCATTTAATATTACAATTATTCTGAATAGAGTAGTATTTAAACACATAATCTTGTAGTTAGGGAACAGAGAACAGAGATCAGAGAACAGAGACTCTCCTCCTGCAATGTGATAGATAAAGCATAAGAAGATTGTCAGAGCACCAGTCAGTCAAGTCATTGGATGTCGGTCCCGAGTCGGTTCCCCTGTCAGCCCCAGTCAGTCGTCGTTTCCCCCCGGCCCTCCGAGGCCGGGCTTGTGGTACACTGTTCACGGTAGCATGGTCATCTTCTCTCTCTCTTCTGCTGGTCTAACCCAGCCTTTATCTGCTCATACTCACACAGCTCTGCACGGCCGGAGCCATGAAGACACGGTCCCATGCCAGCTACCCACATACACACCTTCTTCTGAGCATTGTCTAAACTGTCCAGTACATGACCTTCTAGGTCACATTGACCTGGCGCACATTTCCTTTCTCTAAACCTGAACAGAGCACTCGTACAGTTCACATCAGGCTACAGCTGCAGTATCCGTATATCCATTCCCTATCAGAGGAGGAAGTCACTCAGGATGTTGACCCATAAGTTAATCAAGGGGGACACAGATATTCTTGCCTGCGCCAGAGACAGATCAAGCTTCCGTACACACTTAGCTCACCCTTACATAACTATTACAAATAATATCTATATGAACTACATACTGTTCTATTACATATCACTTCTGTAATCCGGTTTATTTCTAACCACTACAGTGTCATGTGAAGAGTCCCATTTAAGTGGTTCAGTGTCAGTATAAGGACATGTCTGGAGGAAAATTAATGTTGTAGAATATATGTATGTTTACTTTTTTACTATGTTTTTTTTTTTTTTACAGTAAATGACTTTACTGTAAAAAAAAAAAAAACTTTTTATTTAAACTAAACAAACACATGGTGGTCTGCCAAAAAACAAGATTAAAGTCTGAAAAGTTTTTACTATTGTTTTGATGATAAGACAAAATATGTGTATCTGTACTTAAGTTATTAACCTCTACTGCAGCTGTATTTGGCAACCCGTTACCAACATGTTCCTAAAGTTTTATGCCTGTTAAGGATTTGAGACAACTTGCTTAAATGTTCTCTGTTTGAATTGACCATGTTGTGTCCCATCTGTCTTCTGCTCTGTCTCCTTTTGTCTGTTGTAGCACTGTTCTCCCAGGTGGCGATATTGTCTGCTGTTTTAGCCTTAGTGGTCATCCTTATCATGTCTTTTATCATCCTCATCGCCATATGGAGGAAGGTAAGATGGACCAGCTCAACCATGTGTCTGTTGTTAAGTTCCTTATATCGTTAGCAATGTGTAATTACAAATTAAAGTGACTGAAAAGATGGCAGATGGAGGATTTTGACTTGTTGTAGCAGGTTTACTCTCATATATGGGCTTTTTTTTCTGTGTTCTCAGAAACCTCGCTATGAGATCAGATGGAAGGTGATAGAGTCTGTGAGCCAGGACGGTCATGAGTACATCTATGTGGACCCCATCCACCTGCCCTATGACCTGGCCTGGGAAATGCCCCGAGACAACCTGGTGCTGGGTGGGTCTTTAGGAAGACACGACAGATGGCAGTGTGCAGAGCTGATGCTGCAAATTAACTGGGCTTGACTTGGACGTGATAGACTAAAGTAATCAGTCCATTAAAAAGTGTACTGCAAAAAAGGTACACAAACACAGCATAATAAGTATCTGAAAAAAGATTAATGATGCTTCTTTAATCATTTATCCTTTATTGCTCAGTCAAGAGCAGGCAAATTCAACTCCCCGTACCCTCAGGTGACTGTGGTGCTGTGGGTGGTTTGGGTCATCTGGGTCATAGTAGACGCTGGAATACTAAATTAAGTTTGTCAAACTTGTCTTCTTGGCCTCAATTCCACCTCAGTTTTAAAGTTCCACTTAAACTTCGGGGCTTGTTGACATGTTACTAGTGGTTAGAAAAGTAATTCATAGTTAACTAGTACAGACGGCGTTTAAGATCACCTTCACTGGGAAAACTATTTACATTAATATTTTAATGAACAGAAATGCCCTTCCTGTCTATTCAGGTTTGATGTGTGGTCCATTCAGACTCTGTCCTACTGAGCCCTTCTTTGTGTTTCAGGTCGCACTCTTGGATCAGGAGCCTTTGGCAGGGTGGTCGAGGCAACTGCGTATGGTCTTACTCACTCTCAGTCCAGCACAAAAGTGGCAGTGAAAATGTTGAAATGTAAGACACACAATGTAAAAACAGAGTAGAAAGCCATGTGCATGTGAACAATGTAGGCACCACAGTGGAGTCCCCTGCATAGCTGTCAGATATTGTGACACCGCTGCCATATTCCTGTGAGCGCGGAGAAAGCAGCAGCCTGCTGAGCTGTAGTTTGGTTGCCAGCCTGGCTGGACTTTCAGCCAATAGGTCATTGAACGGTTTGCCAAGGACGCACTGTGTCCTGGTCTCAGTGTGCTTACTTCTCCTGTTCTCATACCTACCTCATACCGTCCTACTTGTTCACATCTCTCACTTTTTCTGTTTTGCTCTCTCTCTTCATTCAGCCACAGCCAGGAGGAGTGAGACTCAGGCCCTGATGTCGGAGCTGAAGATCATGAGTCACTTGGGTCCTCACCTCAACATTGTGAACTTGCTAGGAGCTTGCACCAAACAGGGTGAGCACCAGCGCTATACTGTGCATCTGTCTACATTTTTATTTGTTTACTCACTAAAGTACTGTAACTGATATCAACGGTGAGCATTTTCTTTGAGGAAGCGGTCCTGGTGGTTCACTAGGCTGTGAACTCATCAAATATATTTTTATTATAGCTTCTTTGAAAGGAAACTTATAAATAATGCTCCGGCATGCCAGTGTCCTTTTAGGGAAGAAAATGTTTTTCTGGTTCACTGAGGTTCATCTCTGAAGTGTTAAAACTAATAATCAGACAAGAATAGATCATCGAAAGCTGTAAAGTTTGGCATAGCTTGAACTATTTAACAGGATGTCACCCTAGTTTTTTCTTTTATAGGAATGTTTTTACTTTCACTGTCCAGAAAAAAAAGAAAAATGTATTTTCATACAAGATAAAAAGCATCCAGTGCTTTTTAGTGTTTTCTATATTGTGTTATTGCACAACCTAGTGTGTGCTGTTTATTTTAAAGTTGCTATCTTTTAAGTGTTTCTATTGACAAAAGGATTTATAGAAAAATCATTATCTATTTGCTGTGAGTATAGTTTGCAGTAGTGTTCCATTTTCTAAGAGGCAATAGAAAACCGCTTTGACAGTTTGACATGTGATTCTCAATGCTAATATAAAAGTTCATGGCCCATACTGTGTGTTCATCATACAAATGCTGTTGATTTATCTTTAATATAAAGCCTATTTTCTTAACCTGATGAGGCAACAAACATCCTATTTGTACTTTGAGCGCCCAAGAGGAGAAACAAGACAGCTGCGATTTCATGCAAAGGCTGAAGACGTTCATGTGGTTTCAGAGGTCACTGAAGAGACAGGGAAGCTTTGTGCGGCACATGTAAACAATGCTGTTAAGTTCTGTTTGGATTACATAACACTTGTCATCAAATGATCAACAGCTTCCCTTCTAGGCATGGTAACAAAACCACTTATCTATTTATTTACTGACAAATAGTAACTTTAAGTTATTATCTTATATAAAATAACAAACACACAATAAAATCTAAATAGCTTGCTCAAATTTTTTGTTAACCTTAATCTATTTGAATATATGATTTTTAATGTATATATATGTTGTGTGAAAAGTAAGTGTGCCCTCTCTGAGTGAAATTAATTTGCTATTGCTGTTTGTTCTTTCCCCGTATTTGATTTTTCCTTCAACCAGGCCCTCTGTACTTGGTCACGGAGTACTGTCGCTATGGCGACCTGGTGGACTACCTGCACAGGAACAAGCACAACTTCCTGCAGTACTATGCTGAGAAGAACCAAGACGACGGCTGCCTCATCTCAAGAGGGAGCACTCCACTCAGCCAGAGAAAAGGGTGAGCAACACCAACTGTGCAAACTCTTCATTCTTTAAATTGTTCAGTATCATGAGGAACCATGGATAAAAATGGATGTAGGTCAGTTTGGTATATTGCTTTTTTTTTCCACACTATCTTCCAGATATGTGTCTTTTGGAAGTGAGAGTGATGGAGGATACATGGACATGAGTAAAGATGAGCCCTCAATCTACGTTCCCATGCAGGAGCAGATAGACACTATCAAGTATGCAGACATCCAGCCCTCTCCGTACCAGTCACCCTACCAGCAAGACATCTACCAGGAACAAGGTTTGATTTGAGCCCTGTGTGTCTGTGATGTTGTTGCTCTATAGATCCTCTTGGGTATTGACAATAATTACTTTTTCAGTGTTGTAAATGAAAATAAGCATGAAAAATCAGCAGAGTAATCAGGAAACAGAATAAGATACACAGGATGATGTGATGCTGTTTGCTGGACACAGTACAGGATCCCTGGGAAAATTAGCTGTTTGTACAGTATGTGTAAATGAACCTGAAATTCATGAACAGTTTTAATCTCAGCGATTGCAGTTTGTTTTTTGATCAAAGACTGGAGAAAATAGACAGATATATAGTATGTACACACTACAGCATATGAAGAGCATTCATATGCAGTCACAGGACAGCTGGAGTTCCCCAGCAACAAGACAATGGGCTCTATTTTCCTGCCAGCACACGGCTGGGATAGCCTCAAACTCTATATGCTATTTTCTTGGGCGCAGGGTTTTTTTTTTTTTTTCTTTTGTTGCAACACAAAATAGCACATTTACAGAACAAAGGACAGCATATGGAAGAAATCACAATAGATACAGGACAATTACAATAGAGACACTGACAGTTTTACGTTTGGTTGTGTGGTTGTGTTGAACACACCCATACAGGCCTTCAGCTGAGGTTTAGACCTCTGTGTCCTAGTTCAGGAAAATAAAGCCCATTGTTTTCATTCACGAGATGTTTCTTCTCTTCTTCTTATGTCTATCATCTCACCTTGTCATCGTGTTCAGGTGGCGGCAGACTGGACCTGGTCATCAGTGACTTTCCTGTTCTTACCTATGACGATCTTTTGGGCTTCAGTTACCAAGTGGCAAAAGGGATGGAGTTCCTCGCTTCTAAAAATGTAAGATATAAAAGTAAGGTTCAGAAATATTTAGCTGGTTGCTCGAGCCTCTGATAGTCAGACAATTTGAGAAATACCCTTATTGACTTACTTGTTGGGAGTCATGTCTGTATGCTAAACATGAAGCATTATTCATGATTTGGTGAGTCTGCAGAAAAACAAAGTGTACAAACATCAATTTGGTTTTACTTCATTTCCACCACAGTGCGTCCACCGTGACCTTGCTGCCAGGAACGTGTTGATCTGTGAGGGCAAGCTGGTGAAGATCTGTGACTTTGGCCTGGCCAGGGACATCATGCATGATTCCAACTACATCTCTAAAGGCAGCGTAAGTGGCAACATAAGTGTATAAATCAAAGAAAAAAACATATACACAAATCTGAATGCACTTACTGTAAGCTGCTTATAAGTATCTGTAAACTGTACTCTTTCTATTGTGTTGAATGTGTAAAGTTTCAAAATAGGCCTTTTTTCCATTCAGACCTTCCTACCCCTGAAGTGGATGGCACCAGAAAGTATTTTCCATAATTTGTACACCACCCTGAGCGATGTGTGGTCATATGGCATTCTTCTTTGGGAGATTTTCACACTGGGTCAGTCCAGAAACACACACATAAGATTTACACATGCAAACACAGAAGTCCAAATGAAAATCAGACACATAAAGGAGTCATCTTCTAGCTTATATAGGTCACATTGTGTGAGCATCACCTGTATGACTCCTTATCAGTAGTTAAAGTCACACAAATGCTCCCAGACTCCTCCTGGATTTGTCTTGTAAACTGTAATGACCTCACACTGAATGAGGTCTAAATCATATTAGGCACAGTCAGCCTTTGAAATCAGCATTTCCTTGCTCAGCGTATTGTGAGCTTTATTCTTAAACCCTCTTCCCATTAATTTTGAAACAACCATGAAAACAAAGGAGACAGTTTATACGTTGTACCATAAGCACTATGGTGGAAAACAAACTCACAATCCAGCCTCTGTAAGAGATAACCAAAGAATCTCTGTTTCACTGCTTCAGTCTGACTCTTCAGATCCAATTTTTTACAGATATGGCTCAAAATAAACACTTACTTGTGAAAGAGATGTGATTTAAACACTCAGTCAGTGTTGTTCTTCTTGGAATATAAATGAAATTTGTTGAATATGGGAATTATCTTGTAGATTGAGTCAGTGTTATTCTGTGTGCATAACTTCATATTACTGGTTTAATCTAGGTTAGATCGATTTTAGATTTAGTTTTAGTTTTGCTTTCTCACCTGTGCATGAATTCTGATATCTAAGCTTGCTGTATAAGTATCTGAACTGCTGCCTGCAGCAAGAACCCCCTACCCTGATCTGCCCATGAATGAGTTGTTCTACAGTGCTTTGAAGAGGGGCTACCGAATGGCCAAACCAGCCCACGCCTCCGATGGAATGTGAGTCTTATTGTCACCTTGCCAGCATGTTGCCGTTCCAACAACTCTTCTTAACTGAAGATAAATTAAGACATAAGCTCCTTTTTTGTTGTTTATGTTCTAGTTATGATATCATGGGGAAGTGCTGGGATGAGAAGTTTGAGAAGAGGCCTGAGTTCTCCTTTCTGGTGCACAGTGTGGGGAACATGCTGACAGACAGCTATAAAAAGGTGCTTTATTTTTACATACATCACCACTGGATCCAGGCCTCCAGAGTTCTGTTATTTCTGTGAGCTCGGACATCCTGCCACTTAGTCCTTGTCTTCAAATGTTACTTTATACTTTGGCAGAGTTATATACAATCATTAATGCAAATCAAAGCAGACAAACAAAGGCATTGTACGGTCTGTTTAACCCACTTTTGGTTGATGGGAAATCATGAAAACAAGACAAACCCATGTAGTGTACACATTAATATCTGCAGAAGCCAAGACAATTAGCACCTTGCATCAGTTGCAAACTGTGCAGGTTTGTTTGGATCAGAAGAAAACTGAAGATAATTACAGTTCAGATAGTGGACAATCTGTCTGATACCTCTCTGATTCTTAAAGTAGTAGAGTGTTTTAGTAGGTGTGATCTAAAATCTGTGATGCTACTATGCAACATCCAAGCTCACCAAACTGCACTGTTCTATTCACTATCGCTAAGATAACCAAACTATTGTGTTCCAACAACAGAGATACAGCCAGGTCAACGACAACTTCATGAAGAGTGACCACCCGGCAGTAGCCCGCACCAAGCCCCAAGTCACCTCACCCTTTCCCATCGCCAGCCCAGCATTTGGCTACCCCTCCCCCGTCGGCCTCCCCGTATCCCCAGCCCCCCACAACCAGAGCCTGACCCCCAGAGACTTCCGACAAGAGGCAGACACACAGGAAGTCATAACTTCTTACAATGACTACATCATTCCCCTCCCAGACCCTAAGCCAGAGGAAGTTTTCACTGACGTGCCGTCGGAAAGCCCTGCGAGGTACAGAGCTGCTGAAAAAGGTGCTGCAGAAGTGTGTCAGATGCTGAGGTTGCAAAAAAGACGAGGATGTATTTACTTAACAAGGCTAGTTTTTTTTTTCTCACTGCACTCCCACTCATCCAGATGTTGAGCTGACACAGTGGTTGTATTACAGACGTGGACATGAAGACCTGTTTTCATAGCATACATAAACACACAGCCAAGTTGGCTTTAAAGGCCAAATAAATGTTTGACCATACAGAGAGTTCTTTTCTCAGAATTTATCGTTAACTTTTTTTAATTAACACTTTGCGTGTTGCACTGTTGTCATTCAGTTTGGGAGTGGCAGCAGGTTAACCTGTGTTTTGAATTTTGGCAGTGAGGTCATTCTTTTGCTTACATTTAGATGACAGATCTCCTTACCTTAACTATAGCCTTTAACGTTGTGGTTTGGGTCTGAGGCGTCCTCATGGGAACTGTCAGTCCTGATGTCAGTGAAGATGTCATAGAAAGGCAGAATACTCTTTAAATCAAAGTAAGAAATAATCATCACAATCACTGATTTTCTTTATGAATGGTTATGATTAGCAACAATGTATCAGTTAATCAATTCATTTACTGACATTGCATCATTAAACCAACTGATGTCATTTCTTTTTCACTTTTATTTAGGATGTTAGGAAAATTCTGCTAACATCCTAAAGAAGTTAAAAGCTCTGCCTCTTGTGTTATTGATTACTAAGAAAAATCATCAATCAGTTTAGCAGCAAATCAGCCTGACCCATTTGTTTAGTAGGGAGTGGACAACATACACAAGTCTAATCCACATGGGTGAATGGCATCGCTTCTGAGTTAAAAATATGACTTGTGGTTGCTGAAGGGAAGACGAAAAACAGGATGGTTTAGAGACATTAATAAACACTGGCCCTGATGCGTCATCTTGTAAGTCGTACATGACGCAGTGCACAGTGTAAAGTTGTGTTTTGTCCTTCCTGCCTTCAGCTCTCTGGCTCTGGAGGAGGAGACGGACTCCATGTCTCAGGACACAGCAGAAACTCTTCCAGAGGACAGGCTGGAGGAGACCAATGAGAGAGAAGCCCTGCTGGGGTCTTCCGGATCGGCCGAGGTGGAAGACAGTTTCCTGTAGGAACTCTGAGAACAGAAAGCGCTTTTCTAGCGATTTTTTTCTCTTTAAATGCCTGAAAACAGAAACGTGACTAGACTAGAATGTAGCAAAACTGGCACTGAGAAGGCAATCTTTGTATTTCCAATAAGCCCTCAAAGTTTTGTCCTTTTTTATTTTTTTTCATTCACACTTAATACTGAAACCTGTGAAACTGCAAAATGGCCAATTTATTGGAAGCCTGAGATAATACAAGTATGGTACTATCCTCACACTCCTATAGCTTACAGTAAGTAGAGATGTGCTCACTATATTTTCCATTTACTGTTCACCACCAGTGTACATTTTTGAAAAGCAGGTGATTTTTTTTTTTTTTTTTTTTTTTTTCATTGCTTTGTATGAATTTTGCTGTTAATAATACAAAATACAATCAAGACAAGAACAATTACAATATTAAACCTACAGTATGCAACTTAAGGTAGCATGAAACTCCAAGTCAGCCCACTCTGCTCCGCCCAGCACTCCCTCTCCCCGCTCCACTACAATCTGCCACACTCTGCCCAGCTCCTCAGATAGCTGTCATTATGAAATTACAATAAATGAGAATACATCAAAACTTACTGATCAAACAAAAATAACTGAAAATTTAGGAATAGTGAATCAAAACCTTTAGAAGCTAATATATCTCAGCTCTGCTGCCAGAGCTGTTCAATGAGTCTGGGTCACAGGAGGCTTCGACAGCACCTCTCTACATTAAGACAAGTTTTGGAGCAGATTTCTACAATAAAAATTGAAAATAATAATAATAATTAAATACTGTAGCTATAATGTTTATCACTTACAGAACTTTAGGTACCAAACCCCCACCATACATGGAAAATGGGTAATTGAATTAAAACTTTGTTGAATTTTTTTTCTTACTTTAAGTCTGACCAACAATAGTATAATATTAGTATGTAGTATAATATTTTTCTAAGCTGTTATGGACATAAAATGCAAAAATATACAGTTTTATTTTATGATGTGCCTTTATTCTTAGTTTTCTATGCCACAGAGTTCAAATGTTCCTTGTTCTATTTTTTTTCTTCTGGAGAATTATATGTCATGTGTGTCTTTTGTGAATTTTGAATTGCATCATGAATTTTGAATTCTTGTTCTATGTAGGCTTAATTCATAGTTCTGTGCCAGATTTGCACTTTATGTAGAAAAATGTGGATATTCATCCTGAAGACAGAAATTTACACTATGTTAAAGCTAGAAATGTGCAACTGAGAATCATCAAGAAGAATCATCAGTCAGAGCTTTTGACTTCAATCTGAGTTTCTGTGATGACATGTGACTATCTCAAGTGAAAATAATAAACACAGCATATCACTGCCTTAGCACAAGATGGCACACGTGGTTGCCTTGTTATAGACCGACAGCTTTTGTCGCATGCTGATATAAAGGGCTACTGTACTCAAAAATCCTAGATAGCCATATGTGTACATGTGAAAATGATGCTTTTTGTTTTCAGTCACGTGGTTTAACCTTCACTTACACAATGTTTCAATTTTCTGTACTGACATTTGAAACACTATTTTATTTCCTATAGCATTCAATACACGATGTAAAGTGCACAAAATCACTGTATCACACGCTATGGTACCAAAGCCCTCCCTAACGTTTACAAATGTATTTTTTATATGTCATTTTGTATGTTGTAAATGTGACAATAAATGTGTGTTATCGTATTGGGAGTGTGACTCTGTGATCAGTCATGTGAATGTAGTGGTTCTTATCTGGCTGCCTTGCTCCATTTCCCCCGCTGTTCAAACAGATCAGAAATACTAAAACCAGGAGTGGTATTTGTCCAACATATTCATGATAATCTTTTGTTAATTAATATGGAAGAAGCTGCTTTCATTATGTGAAGTCTTACTCAGAACAGACCACATCCACCATACATTCATAATGAATTTTCTCACATTACACTTTCTCTTTGCCTTTGTCTGATTCCTGGGTCACAGTCCTAAAAGCCCTTTGACTCTCCTTCCCTCTCCCACGTGTCCACAGTTTTCCAGCAGGAAAAAAAGTTCAGCAGTGATGGAGATGTCTCTAGAGAACTGTGTCCTTTGGCAATTTGGCACCAGCGCATTAATCTGTTGAGCATGATATGCTGATTTGCCTCCTGGCTCGCACACATTTTCTTTCACCCTCCACCACTTGGTGTCTAAAAGACTTCATGTTTGTTGTGTGACGGCTGTGGCGGATAGACTGTACACAAGCAGAAGCGAGAAGAAGGGCAGAGCCAAACAGAAAAAGGAAGAAAGGCGGCTTGCGTCTGCTGTGGAAGAAGGAAATACCAAACTCAGGGAAGTCATTCCCGTCTGTCAAGTTGACAACATCTCCAGGTGAGTAACACAAGAGGCTTCAGCTGTAGTTTGAGGTGGGCTGATTTATTAATTCTGTAATTGTAATCATAAAATGGTTCCTCAAAATATTTTTGATATGTTTGTTTCCCGGCTTTAATGTATACGTAAGAATATAAAGACTGAAGTAGGACAAACAGTTGTTCAGCATAGATTCATATGTCTTTCCAGGTAATGCTGCTCTGACCAGCCAGAAAAGAGAAATTAATCAGGGGGGTGAGTAATAATAACTTCTGAGGCGCCTTGCTTATTTTTCTCCTCAGCGCCACAATAGAAGAGAAGTTCAAACTAAAGGTTTGGAGCTGATGCAGGATGCAGTCCTACTTCGCGCTGCTGCTGGGGATTATGGCCTCTGCTGCTTTAGGTACAAAAAGAAAGAAAAAAATAAATAAAGCAAAGTACATATTTATTTAACAAATGTAAAGTTGACATTATTCATTAGTTAGTGAATTAAATGTAAATCAATGTTTTAAAATTCATAATTTACAATAAGATATATTTTGTAAGTCACATGTTTCTGTCCACTGCAGCTAACCAACTATTTATAGACTGCTCTAACAGAACATGTATTGTACATCTCATGGTACAGAGAAGCTGAGAAATGTTGTGCGCTTCTTCATCTGTTGTGCCTGATGACAGAACTGTTGTCTGCAGCATTAAGAGTTGTTTCTCAAGTCATTCTTTTATTTTGGGGAGCAGGGGCTCTGAACCCTACATATACAGGCAGGCATTAAATTGCAATTTCATGTATTTGCATTTGAGCTTATAAAGGCATCTGTTGTTTACTTGAATTATGGCTGAATAAGTTTGTTTTGCTTTCTGGTATATTATAAAGTGTAACTGGGGTCAATTTGAGGTTGGATGATTAGTTCATTTGGATGATTGAACAGGGAGTTTGGGAGAAAGGCAATTGTTTGCATCAGCAATAAGGGTGTTCAAAGCTAACATGCGGATTGATTTCAAACTACCCTATATTTTGTTCCTCTGTGTTTTCTTGCGTCCTGTGGCGAATAGTAAAAATGCTGATCATGGAATCTCAGTTCTGCTTGAAGCTTCAAGGAACACTGTACTTGTCTAAATGAAAAATGTTATAACCCTTACTGAAACTGTCCTTTCAGTACTGAATAAGCAAAAACTCCAGATTTACAGAACAGGTACTCTCGGTCACTTCAGGGGCAACAATTTTCAAAAAACAGTTTGAACCCCAAGCAACTTCCAGATTCAATGAATTGCTCAGACTTTCAAATCCTCAACAATACCATCAAAGAGAGCACTGTCTTTATCTCCCCTGGGGATTTTTTTCTTGTCTTGTCTTCTTAGTAATTTCTGCCTCAATGCTTATAGTTGTAGTACGTACGTCATCATGAACACGAGGGATTAAATAAAAATTACAACAGTAACAGATTTGAAGATTTCCATCTTTACAGTTTTTATATCTCCAGTGCTGAGATAGCAACACTGTGGAAAGCAGAAGTGAAAAAGATGGAGGGATGTTATTCATGTCCAAGTCTTCAATCTGTTTCCTGAATTCTTTAAAAAATAAATCTGAATCTAAAATGAGAAGGCTCTGAGTTCTCGGCCAAAACAGAAACAATGTTTTGATTTTTCAGGAAGTAACAAGAAAATAGAACAAAAATCTATTCTTGTCTATTTGATTAATTTCTTCCTGCTCTATTTCTGATGGATCCAATTGGATAAAAAAGTCAGTAAATGCAATAATTAATTTCTATTTTAATTCCTTCTCAGCGGAACGGAGGCGTCCAGTGATCAAGTTCAACTCTGAGGTGATAGAGAGTTCTGAGGTGGTGGTCAGACCTGGGTCCCCTCTGGATCTGAAGTGTGAGGGTGACGGGCCTGTAAACTGGCAAACCAGGCTAGCCAAGCACAGGCGCTACGTGTCCAGGGACAATGGGAAAACCTGCACCTTAAAGGCGGAGCGTCCCACTGCTGAATTCACTGGAACATACAAGTGTTTTTACACTGATGGGTCTCAGCATGGTGACCTGACCTCCTCAGTGCATGTGTACGTAAAAGGTGAGCTCAGATAAATGAGTCTTACTATTCTATGTACAGAACAGGAGGACAAGCTTCCTTGGTGCTTGGGTGGATCATTGCCAACTTTGGTTTGACCTTTCTGTGATTAGTTTTTAGATTTCCTCCCAATCTCCTTTACATTTGCCTTTCACATTACTCCATTGGTCCATGATCTAATAGTTTCTTCCCAACTCTTTCTTCTAGATTCAAACCGTGTGTTCTGGACCAGCAGTACATCGCTGCGTGTTGTGGAGAAAGAGGGTGCGGACTACCTGCTGCCATGCCTGCTGACCGACCCAGCAGCCACAGACCTTGGCCTCCGCATGGACAACGGCACCACCGTACCACCGGGGATGAACTTCACAGTTGATCGACACCAGGGTATTCTCATCCACAGCCTCCGCCCCAGCTTCAATGCTGACTATGTCTGCACAGCCAAGCTCGACGGAGTGGAGCGGACCTCCAAGGCCTTTTCCATCAACGTCATTCAGAGTGAGACCACTTGGCTGCTAGAAATGAAGCTGTCATTGAGTTCTGTGATGTAATACGAGCATGGACACTCATTCTTGATTTCCTCTTGCTCTAGAGCTTCGTTTCCCTCCATATGTCTTCTTGGAGACAAATGAATATGTGCGCATCGTTGGGGAGGAACTCAAGGTTCCCTGCTCCACACACAACCCCAACTTTAACTACAATGTCACCTGGAAATATACCACCAAGTCGGTCAGTGTGAGGCATTCTAGAAGTTTTTGATCATGGCAGGGGTCATGTTTTTTATTCTTGTGGGTGTGTGTGTGTGTGCAGAAACCAAGCATCGATGAGAAGGTTCGCTCCAGTGGAGAAAATCGCCTGGACATAAAGAGCATCCTGACCATCCCTGCTGTGGACCTTGCAGACACAGGGAACATCTCCTGCATTGGTACAAATGAAGCAGGGGTAAACAGTTCCTCTACATACCTGCTGGTTGTGGGTAAGTCACAGAAACAACCACATCCATTCACCACAACTGATACTGAAATGCTTGGAGCATTACTAAGCACTGATGAATGACAACAAACTGAAAGTATGTTTCTTGATTTTTCTAACTAGATAAGCCGTACATCAGACTGTTGCCCCAGCTGTCGCCTAAACTGGCACACCAGCATCTCTTGGTTGAGGTGAATGAGGGAGAAGATCTGGAGCTCAGTGTGCTCATTGAAGCGTACCCCCGCATTACAGAGCACAGATGGCACACGCCAACATCTCCTAAGTCATCAACACAGGAGTACAAGTTCATCCAATACAACAACAGGTAAGAGACAAAGGGTTTCCCGGATGAAAGCTACAGTGCCTTGCGAAAGTATTCGGCCCCCTTGAACTTTGCAACCTTTTGCCACATTTCAGGCTTCAAACATAAAGATATAAAACTGTAATTTTTTGTGAAGAATCAACAACAAGTGGGACACAATCATGAAGTGGAACGAAATTTATTGGATATTTCAAACGTTTTTAACAAATAAAAAACTGAAAAATTGGGCGTGCAAAATTATTCAGCCCCCTTAAGTTAATACTTTGTAGCGCCACCTTTTGCTGCGATTACAGCTGTAAGTCACTTGCTTACATACTAAATACAAAAACAATCAAGTATACTGCAGGAAAGGGGAAGTTACTCTGGATTTGGAAAATGCTGTTGGTGCATTGTGGGTGAATTTGACATTGGAAGTCCAAGATCATAATGTTTCCTCAGGTTATGACACTGCTGCTAGAGGGAAGTGCGAGGTTCTCTATTTCATTTGTTGACCTACTCTGCGATGATACATAGAAACAGTCTGGATTCAAACCACAGAATTAGTCACTTCAGATTGTGTAGACATTCCTCTTTTTCCTCAGTTTAAATATCCCATTTTGTGATTTTTTTTTAAGATACCATGCTAGTCTGCAGGTGAAGAGAATGAATGCACAGGAGCAGGGCCTGTACACCCTCTACACCAGGAATGAACTGACAAATGCATCCATCGCTTTTCAAGTCCAAATGTATCGTAAGTGATGTATTAAACACAAATCAAAGCAGTAACACATTCACAGTACTCAGTCCTGATCAGTCTTTTGTAATAGGAAAAGGAAAGCATCTTTGTAGATGCTGCAACAGATCAATTTGATCTGGCTAGTTAGCATTAATTCTCCCCTCATTTTTTTCTTCACTGGCAGAAAGACCTGTTGCTGTGATGAAATGGGAAAATGTCACCACACTGACGTGCACATCATATGGCTATCCTGCTCCCAAAATCAAGTGGTTCCAGTGTTTTGGGATACGACCTACGTGAGTATAACTGCACAGTTGTCAAAAAGTGCTGCTTAGTTTGTTGTATTACAGTTATGTAATATGTAAGTACCAGCATTCCTGTGATGTTTGGGTCCTTTCTTTAACTCTCTATGTGTTTCATTGAGGCAGGTGCAATGAAAACACCACAGGGCTACACATGGCGATCCCTCTCCAGGCTCCCACAGTGGAGGTCCAGAGGGATGAGTGGGGGGCTGTTGGGGTGGAGAGCGTCCTTACTGTGGGGCCATCTAGCCAGAGGATGACGGTGGAGTGTGTGGCCTTCAACCATGCCGGTGTCAGCAGCGACACTCTCGCCATGGAGGTTTCTGGTGAGTATTTTATCCTCTGTTCATTTTAAGGATGCAGTTTATGTCACTGTGCCTCAAAGTTTGTTATTGTACAGTCACATGGATGGGTCTTTGAGGAAATCTAATGTCTGCTCTGGGAAATGTTGCTCTTATCATCAGCTGATTTCATTCTTTCGTGGCTGAACATATTAGTCAGATGTTTCATTCTGTGTGGCTGTGATAAAACATAAATTCTATGTTAAAAATCTGCCAGTTGAAATAGTATAAAACTTATACAAAGTGACATAATTCAACAAGAGCACACACAATCACTACATACAAATGAAATTATGTATTAATATCCATTTTTCTCTGACTGGCCAGATGTGCTCTTCATTTCCATTCTGATTGGAGCAGCAGGAGTTCTGGCCTTCCTCCTTTTGCTACTGGTTTTCCTGTTTTACAAATATAAGCAGGTACAGTATGACGCATTCCCAAAGTGTAACCACCACAATATATGATACACTATGGTTTAAGTATTCTAAAGAAACCTGGGTTTTGTGGGTTTTATTATTTTCTTCAAGTTTTTGTGTTCATTTTTGTCTTCAGAAACCAAGATATGAGATTCGTTGGAAGATCATTGAGGCGAGCGATGGAAACAACTATACATTCATTGATCCCACTCAGATGCCTTACAATCAGAAGTGGGAGTTCCCGAGAGACAAACTGAAGCTAGGTTCGCAGCATGCTCGTAAACGCTCTTCAGTGCTGACATTTTGGATAATTTGTCATGATTCAGTGCAATAGAAATTGATTAGATTAACTTATCAGATATAAAATAAATATATAATATAATAGATATAATTCTGTATGTAATAGAATAATCTTAACAAAGGCTGTACCCATAATACTGTCTCTTATTTTCTGTCCCACTAGGGAAGATCTTGGGTGCAGGAGCCTTTGGAAAAGTTGTTGAGGCCACAGCCTATGGCCTGGGAAAAGAAGACAATGTGATGCGTGTGGCTGTGAAAATGTTAAAAGGTGAGTTGATGTTCAGTCATTTGTTTTAAGGAGGAGATTGTTGTTTACAGGGACAGGTCAGAGTGACCCCTAAATCTCAGAATATTCCAGCTAAAGTGAAAAAATGTCTGATGTAGGCATCTGTGAACATCACTTTCCAAAATCCTTTTTTCTCTGGATCAAGCAGAATGACAATCTGTAGTGTGTTTCTGCAGCCAGTGCCCATTCAGATGAGAAAGAGGCTCTGATCTCTGAACTGAAGATCCTGAGCCACCTGGGACAGCACAAGAACATTGTCAATCTTCTGGGAGCCTGCACCTACGGGGGTCAGGCAGTATCCTGTTCTTTATGATGTTTGATGAAATTAAAATATCCTAAAAACATGTTAATGAAAGTTCAGTCATTCCAGTTCATGGAAAATCCAGTATATTATTTTCATTCCAACATGTTTTCTTTGTTAAAAAGGTCATAACTTGTTGCGTCTCTTCATCAGGACCAGTGCTTGTGATCACAGAATACTGCAGCCTCGGCGACCTCCTCAACTTCCTTCGTCAGGCAGAGACGTGTCTGAATTTTATTACGAGCATCCCCGACATCATGGAGTTCTCGAATGACTACAAGAACATCTGCAATCAAAAAATGTTCATCAGAAGGTACAGCTCCAAACAAGATGAATGTTTAGTGAAGAACATTTGGTTAATTGTTTGTGTTAACTGTGTCTTTTTCCATCCACAGTGATAGTGGGATCTCCAGTACGTCGTCCAGCAGTTACTTGGAGATGAGACCCAGCCAGGAGACGAATATGGAATCGTTTCGAGGTTAAATCCTTTCTCACCAAATCTCAGTTTATTAACTGAGTCATTATGTTGCAGCATGCATATCAAAAGCCTCTTTACTTCCTCACCCTGGGTGTTACTAACACTAATTCTGTCTGATTCATGCTTAGACTCTGTGTGTGAGGAGACTGGTGACTTGCCGCTGGATATCAATGACTTGCTGAGATTTTCCTTTCAAGTGGCTCAGGGCCTTGACTTTTTGGCCTCCAAAAATGTAAGTGATTTAACTACGCATTACGCAAACAACATCAAAATCACCAATGGTTTTTCAGAATAAAGCAAACAAATTTGCAAGGTGGTTAAATCATTCATAGCCATGTTGTGAGGAGTATTTCCTATTACATTCAGTACTTCATATTTACTCATCGTTGTACAGTAGATCAACAGTGTATTTGAGTATAATTCTATATGTGTCATTATTCCATCTACTGACATTTTTTATTGTACAGGACTTTACAACCAAAAACAAATTGTGTGTATGTGTGTTTCCAGTGTATTCACAGAGACGTGGCTGCTAGGAATGTCCTGTTGACTGACCGCAGAGAGGCCAAGATTTGTGACTTTGGCCTAGCGCGTGACATCATGAATGACTCCAGCTATGTGGTGAAAGGCAATGTAAGCATCTGAGTAGATAACAGCCAGTTTTTACTTAAACTATGTGAGATGAGACTGGGTCCCTTTGACTGTGTGTGTGCAGGCTCGTCTGCCAGTGAAGTGGATGGCTCCAGAGAGCATCTTTGACTGTGTCTACACTGTCCAGAGTGATGTGTGGTCCTATGGCATCCTCCTATGGGAGATCTTCTCTTTAGGTCAGAAACATGCACGTCATCTACATTTTCTCACATTTAACTCATCATTGTCTTGCTAAATCTACAGTATATTCTTCCCAATTAGGCAAGAGCCCCTACCCCAGCATAGCTGTGGACTCCAGATTCTACAAGATGGTGAAACATGGCTACCAGATGTCCCAACCTGACTTTGCCCCACTGGAGATGTAAGCTTAACACTTCAGCAACATAAAGGATCACTGCTGCTTTCTGCTTTATTTTGTAAAGCCAGTATTACCACTCTGCTTGTGTCACCTGATTATCAGTTGAATTTTACAGGGGTATCAGCTGTTTTTTTTTTTTAAAACAAATGAATCAACAGCAACAGATGCCTTTTTATCAGCTGGTAGATGGAAGGCTAACTGGTGAGACCAGCTGCTAACCTAGAGCTACTGCTTGATATGAGTGTTAATGAGGACTGATTTATAACGATGGTGCATCCTAATGTGAATTCATTATCAGAAAGTTCAAATACTATGCTTTTCAAATGTTCATCGCTGAACAAAGATCCCTTTTTCTTTGGCAGCCTTCCACCCTACTTGCATTAGGTTAACTTCTAACCCCCAAGCTCACAATTTAACGCGTCTGAACTCCAAACCTAACAACCCGATGAAATAAAGACATAAAGAACATTTTTCCTCAGTATCTCAGAGGGCCCTAACATCTCTGTGTGCTGATTTGACATGGCTGTCGCACAACCCGGAATAACTGTGCTGTGGAAACCAAGGGTACTGAATCTGAGTCAGGGCCTAATCATCTGTTGTTCTGCTGTGAGTCAGGCCTCAGTTCTGCCTGTGAGCCACATGATCACTAAGCTAGGAAACCATATAACTGCATATTTCACAGCAGCAAAATTAGACTTGAGGGGTTCTAATGAAGAAGTCTCTCTGATCAAACTGTGTCACTACTTCTACGAGCCTCTCCCAATTTGTCTTATAGTTTATCAGTTTTACCATAAAAGCTGAACAGTTTGCGGTGAAAATTGAGCTGTTTATAAATGACTGAAAATGTATAGAATCAGTTATTATTTTGCCCAGTGAATGACATCTGTATTCTTGACTCAGCTACATGATCATGAAGATGTGCTGGAATCTGGAACCTACACAGCGTCCAACATTCAGCAAGATCAGTCAGATGATAGAAAGACTACTTGGGGACCAACCTGAACAGCAGCAGGTGAGTTAGTGTCAAGCAGGGCTTATTGTTTCCACTCTGACTTTACCAAAACTATCCAAGGAGGGCACTTCTTTCACTTATAGCACTATCATTTTCAAATGAAGCAAGTGTTTGGCCTTATCTAATCAAGCCTCACTCTCCTAATGATGACTCCACGCAGCTAATCTACCAGAATATGCAGCAGCAGTTTACAGAGGAGGACGTGTGTGATGAGACCAAGTGCTGCATCGGCCCCTCTGACCAGTTTTGTGACCATGAGGAAGAGGAGCAGCCTCTGATGAAGACCAACAACTACCAGTTTTGTTGAAGGGCTTAACCACCAATCAGTTGGTAAATCAGTCAGTCATCAACAAGCATCAGGAGGGTGGAGTGAGCAGTTTGCAGCCAAAGCTTGTTCCAACCTGCTGGACAGTTGCAGAGAGTCACCTTCATGGCTAATTTTTCCTTGTTGTGCCTGAGCGCCAGTCATACGGGCAGCTGTAGCGAGCATGTGACGTGTTTCTTTGGAGACCGTGACTAGAACTGATCGCAGATAAGAAAGGAAGAAACATGTCAAAACCACACAAGCATTCGAAACGCTATCTCACCCCACACATTGCTCCTTCACAAACTGTTTATCACTCCTTCGTTTATGTATTTGAGGTATAATCTGTTACAGCGTATGCACAGGAGACATAATCAGTTTGTTCTTTCTTGTGAGAGTCTTCATTTTTATTACTACTTTTTAATTACTTGTTTGTTTGAGTGTCTTGTTTGTGTGAAGATTTCGGTCACATTTGTCAGCAGGATCACTTCCTTTTCATCAGTTTATTGCGTGTGTTTTTGCAGAGGAAGCAACCCGACAGTCAGAAACACTGGATACAAAACCACAACTTTGTGAAGTAGAACTAAGTTTTAGTCTCTGATCACTTCAATTTAAAATCTAAACAGTGTGAATGTTTCCTCGCCCTCTTTTGTAACATACTTTCAGTAGCTGTGACCTAGTGACAACATGTGATTGTTCCGCTTCAAACTGATTAACCAGTGCTCAATGTGATTTTGGAGCAGGGAAATCTGTGGATCTATGATGGATCAGATGAACAAAGTTTCATGTTTGACAATGTGAAAGTGTTTTTGTGTGTGTGTGTGTGTGTGTGTGTGTGTGTGTGCGTGTGTTTCCTTCTATGTGGGGGGTTTTTTCT